CTTGAATTTTCAGCAGTCATTACTTGACATGATCATTCAGAAATCCTTTTAACAATGATTTGGTGCTCAAGAAACATTTCTTACTTATCAATGTTGAAAACAGTTGTGCTTCTTCATATTTTTGTTTAAACCGTGATACATTTTTTTTCTCAGGATTTTTTGATGAATAGAAAGTTCAAACGAACAGCATTTATTTCAAAAAGAAATCCTTTGCAACAATATAAAATGCCTTTACTGTCACTTTTGATCAGTTTAATGCATCTTTGTTGAATAAAAGTATTAGATAGATAGATAGATAGATAGATAGATAGATAGATGCATAAACGACACATACAAAACGGCTATAGTGAAACAACCAGCTGGAGTATGGGCTGGGAGAAGCAAATAAGTCATGAAGCAAATAAGATGAATTCAAATTCCCACACCTGCCACAAGCAACCACATGAATGCATCTGCTCCATCCTCCACTGACAGCGAATCCGTAGACTCCACAATCACTGTTATACCAACACACATCTGCTATCAAACATACATAAACAGGAGCTTTTCAAAAAAGAACCAACAAGCATACAGTACTTAATAAAAGATAAAACAGGTATCTTTCCATTTAAAATGTATAATTATAAACATAAATAATTTGTAATCGTTATCAGTGCATTTTTCTGCACATGTAAATATCAGCACTTGCGGTTTGTTTTTGCATGTTGCTGCAGAGGGAGAGTACAGGGACTCTGATGCCTGAGGCAGTCTGCCTGAGAGTTGTATTTAGATAGGGTGTTTGTGCCTTGTGCCCTCTTTGTAGGGCCAGCTGTAAGTTGTCTGTTTGGGATACTCCAGATGTTTGCCCATAAAGACAAGGCACTTCAAACAGCTGCGAACAACGTTCTAACCCCCTTGCACTTCCACCATGTTTAGAGGTGTATGCTGGGGCTTTAGCAGAGGGGAAATGACTCCGACTCTTACCCTGTAATCATGGGGCCGGCTGGCCAGCATGTCGAGGGGGGAGGAGGGAACCTGCCAGTCACTTTCTATTCCGCATCTTCTAGCACTGAGGGGAAGCCCTGAAACTCCATGAAACCTCCAGTTTCTCACCTTTCCCAAGGGAACTTGAACTTGACACAAGTTGCTCCTGTTTGGGAATATACAGGCTTTATATGAAAGCTCAGAAATGAAGGTTCTTCATTGGACCTAAGCAGTGCCTTTGGTTTGGACCCTCTTTCAAGAATTTGTTGGATATGTTTTGTTAGAGAGTCAAAAAGCTTAATGTTACATAATTTGTTCTTCACAACAGCATATTGGTTTCAGGGGAGTTTAAATCAGCAATACATCGATTTAAAAAGTGTTTCATGGAAACTTAAAAAGTTATTCTAAGACAAAAACTGTCATGATTCATTACAGCCAAAGAGTTTTGCCACAAAGTACCACACTGAAAATGGTGTAGAAACTATTTACACTCAGAAACGGCTAGTAAATTTCCTAAATAATTACAAAGAAATAGAAATAACACATTGAATTAGAGGGACAGTTCACGCAAAAATGAAAATGTACTCACCCTCAAGTTGTTCTAAACCTGTACGAGTTTATTTCTTCTGTAGAGTGCAAAAGTTGGTATTTTGAAGAATGTAGGTAACCAAACAGCTTCTGGTCCCCATTGACTCCCACAGACTTTTTTTTCCATATTATGGAAGTCAGTGGGGACCAGCAGCTGTTTGGTTACCTACATTCTTCAAAAATATCTTCATGTTCAACAGAAGAAAGAAACTCATACAGATTTGGACCAACTTGAGAGTGAGTAAATGATGACAGAATTTTCATTTTTGTGTGAACTATCCATTTAAATCTGATTTTTTTAAGTAGAAAGACTACTCTTGCAAAACATACTCCACTTTTTTCAGTGTAACCATTATTTGCAGCTAAGATGAACTGAGAACAAAAAAACAAAAAAAACAGTAAAGCTCCCTGATCTTTATAGCTTTAAAGGCCCAGACCTTTGTACAGAACAAGAGCGGAGGATTTCATCTGGCTTTAATTAAAGTAATGCCAACAAAGTGGGTCATGTTGGCACAACATGGAACAAGAGACACCTAGTCAAAACACACTTTGAGGGCTTCAAAGCGAATAGTGACTACCTGCATGCAGCACTGACATACAAATACTACAGAGGTTTAATCAAGCCTGTGTTTCCCCAACATAAACAAAACCACCTCAACCAACCCTATGGTCATAAAGAACTCAAGCGTGAAATCTAACACTGGAATTAATTGCAAAACATCATCTGGATTACTAAGGAAACTGAGGATAGACATATAAAAGGCTGAATGAACCAGTATTGTTGATATGACTTTGTATATCTGTTCTGCATATTGCACTTGAAGCAAAGCTTTGAGGTTTCCACAAGAGGGCAATACATAAGTAGAAAAAGTGAGCAGATGTAGTGGCCTGAAAATACTGAAATACAATACTGAAACTGTCATAGGACATATATGACACAAATATGCACTGTTCAACCAACAGATATCAATTTGAAATTAATTTGAAATGTATCACTTTGATTTGAATTAGCCAATCTTGAACCATAATGACATAAAAATACAAAGAGAAAAAGAAAACGTATTCCGTTCTTTGTTATCAACAAAAAGAAGTGCATTAAACATTACATTATGTCAGGGTTTATCAGACTGGGGTTTGTGAAGGAACTGCAGGGGGTTCGTAAATTGAAGAAAAGCTAATAATGAATTAAATCCCAAAATTGTTCAATTAAAAGAAAGAAATACATTTGAATATAAAAGCAATCAAAATAAAAGACTTTTTAAAAAAGATGAAATATTTTATTTGTTTATGCTGCGTGACCTCAGTTTTCTGTGCAAGTATAGCCACCTGACCAGTCAAAACTAGAGGACTTCCCAAATATAAGCAATATGCTATTTAAAAAATAAAAAATAAAAAATAAAAGAGTAAAGGATAAGACAGAGGAAGTTATGACAAGGTTGACATTCACTTGTCATTAGAACTGTTACATTCTAGGTGAGCTTTCGCTTCAATAAAGTGTGCATCTGAAATGAAGGAGGTCAAACTGTGTAAACTACTGGCAATGTGTATTTTACTCTTATGTGCGTCATAAAGCAGCATCAACCCAAAAGTAAACACTACATGTGATTATCCTTGTTTACTTAACAGGGGATCTCCCCACATAGCTCAAAATACTCCAATGCACAAAGCTGCACATTTGTGAATGAGAGACACAAAAATAACGTTCATAGCCTCTCTTTAAGGGTAATCATATTCTATACAATACTTCTGTCATGATTTAACATCCCTTGTTTGCTTGTTCAGAATAGAGTTCATTAAGAGGCAATGTGGAAGCATTACAAAATACATCCAGACAAGGACCTTTGATCTACTGGGTCTGCATTACATAATAATAATTTTCTTGCACAGCCCAGTGGGTTTGGTTCGAACTGGCATCTTTCATGAATAAATGTGATTATTAGACAATAGAGACTGACCAGTGAAGGGTGTGTGAATTACAGATTTCCTCTGCAATCACTGTAGTGTTTTTGTAGGGCCAGAATTTTTTGGAGCAAACTGAATGACAGCATAGGTCAGCATTCAGATTTACATCACTTCCTCTGCACATTTCTGACAAACAGCACAAAGCCAAGCTTTCAAAGTGATGTGACATCAATGAATACTAGTAACAATGAATACATATCATATAAATGTCACACAAATGATGAGATAATAATGGAAATTCTCAGGGTAACTTTGTGACTCAGCAGGACAAATGCACCATTCATTAATTTCTCATTTAATTTCCTAGGTTTTGTATGATATTAACTGTTTTGTTTAGATTTTGCTTGATATTACCTGTATATACCATCCATCATTTAACGAGTAAACACATATGTGTGCTTAAAATCTTAATTGACAATAAAAGAAAAAGTTTGAATTAAAAGTACTTTTTATTATTATTAAGAATGCCTTTTCATTCAGTATATGTCGCTTATTTGACTCTTCTTTGTAACGAATCATTCAAGTCCAAAAACCTTATGGAGCGACAAAATTGCCAAAGTGCAGCGATTACACAGCGCCATCTAGCGATCACTGCAACGAAGTGGAATTGCAAGAACCCTGCAACGGCTGTTTGGTGAATTTCAGAACACATTGCAGAGAGATATCGTCACCTATTCACATATTTTATGCAAGATCAACATCAGGTCTATGAAAAACACATAGGTCATTTTCAGCCTTTTCATGAATGGGAATATTTACTCAAAATTACTAACTTCTCTGTAAATCCAACGGGCTCAGCAATTCACAAAATATACACAATACGTAAAAAAAAAAAAAAAAAAAAAAAAAAAAAAAAAAAAAAAAAAAAATCAGAGCAAACGTGTTATAGTAGGTAAGTAAAGTCTACTCTAGAGCGCGCAGATGCCTATTATAGAGTAGCCTATCACCGGCGATTTAACTATGGCTATAATGATTTTTTCCTGAAAATGCAGATCATGAAAAAAATTAATTCTTATGAAAGGCCATTTTTTTCTGGGGCTTAAAGTCAAATAGGCGTTGCAACTGTGCGATAGGCTATAAAAGAGAAACGTTAATTAAATTCATTAAATAAATCATTAAAAAAAAAAATCTTTAAAATAGCCTAAGCAGTGAAGCAATTTTATTTCAATATATCATCATGTCAGTTCATCATTTATTTTTTTTGCTGTTCTTTTTGTATAACTATTAATTTAAATTATTTTGATACTTCTCAAATGTTATAATGATATAAGTTAATAGGATATGCATGACAGATGCATTATAATAAAACAATAACTTTATAAAGTTCGATCACTTATTTAGTCTTCATCGACTGTTGGATGTCCAGCGGGGTGTGTTACCCTGTTCTCAGTACTGCCAGAGAGGGGAAATGCTTATTGATTGATCTGATAAGAGAACAATTTAAAGGCCAGTTGCAGAGCTTGCGCCAAAACAGAGCAATACAAAGGAGATAGAGTGTGCAGGCTTCACATCAGAACAAGACAACCTATAGGCTAAATATTACAGATACAATTAAATAATGCTCCTCTTACTCTTTGTCACTGTTTGTGGAAGTAGCATCGGCGTGGAGAGCGTCCCATTGCCCGACTCTGGTCCACATTTGGCAAATGACTGGGGAGAAGCCGTCCGGTTCCGACATCTGTATGCAGCCAGGCACGGTTTACATCTGCAAATAAACGCAGACGGGGAAATAAGTGGATCGTACATGCAAAGTTCGGACAGTAAGTGACAGCAGCTCAAATCAATGTCATGTAGTTACTCTTAACTCAGCGCTTCACCTATATGGGTCAATGACAAATAAGGATGACCGAGATGATAAAGAGGGGAAATCTTTTAAAATACAATTTAAAACACATGTGTCGATTTCTTAGAAGTGTGTTTTTTTTATATTGATTTCAAAGATTTTTAAGACAAAGGCTATACCACAAAAATGTCAAGTGGTGTAACCATCAAGTTAAAAAGCACGTGCGTGTAGGCCTACAACTGAATCAACTTATTTTTTAGTAGGCTATATTATATATTACAAGTTATATATTATCTATTGATATATAAATTATATATTATACAATTTTGTGCCATGAATAGCCTATTAAAGCTTTTTCTTGGTTACTCCATTTGACCTGAACAAAATGTGTATATTCATAAAAAAAAGCCCTTGACACAACGTCCTATGAAAATATTATTTTTTTCTGATTTATGGTTTTCGTACTGAAAATATTAATAACGTTGATTTTTTTTTCTATGAATTGCATTATTATTATTATTATTATTATTGTTATTATTAATTAATTAATTAATTAATTTGTTATATGTTATGCATCATTATATTATTCTGCAACATGCACTATGCCTTTTCTGTAGGCCTACTCCGCAATATGATGCAAATCTCAGCATTGCAACTGGAATTTAAATGAAGTTGACGAGCATCTTTGATTTTTATCCTGTTCATGTCAAACCCGTATTTGTGAGCCATTTTCCTACCAATAATGTTTAAATGAAGATTTTAGAGCTTTTCGCTTCAGCTCAGACAAAACAAGAATCTTTACTTTCACTGCATTCTATAAAAACCGTATTTTGTTTCCTAAAGGTTTGGTTGAGATACGGCCGGTGGATACGGGCTGTGTTGCCATTAAAGGGGTTGCAAGCTCCCGATTTCTCTGCATGGACAGAATGGGAAAATTGTATGGATCGGTAGGTTTGACAATCAGATGTAATAAAATGTACAAAATTGTCTTCTCTGTTTGTATTAGCAATTCTATAGAGAAGCATATCTACCTAAAGAACCCTATTTGCTGAAATGTATATGTTGAGGGTTTAAGGTTATTTGCAGGTGCACTTTCAGAATAGCTTTCTTGGAACCTGAAAGATTCTGATTCATATACGAACTGATATTTTTCAGAGTGCACGATTTAGATTCCTGACCACAGGATAATGTGCATAATTTCAAAAACAGTAGAGTTCAGGTAGCCTATATTGTCTTACTGACAGAGGTCAACCGAGGCCACAAGTTTGGACATTTTCTGAAACTCTTTTTAGAACAGTGACATCCATATAGCAATAATTTAATTCTTACACTCTAAAAAATGCTGGGTTAAATACAACCCAGTGCAGCAATTGGGTTGTTTTGACCCAGCGGTTGGGTTACTACTCGGAAGGTTGGGTTTAACATTTAACCCAACCGCTGGGTCAAAACAACCCAATTGCTGGGGTTGTCCCTATTTTACCCAGCACTGGGCTGTATTTAACCCAGCATTTTTTAGAGTGTAGAGAGTGGAACTTTGGCACTCTGCCACCAATCATAATAAAACTACACACATTTGTCAGAGATAACCTTGTTTTTCTATGGTCACCTCAGGATGTCCTTTATGACTGTGGAAGTGTAGACAAGCCGATTTCGCCACAAACATCTAGCTTTATTGACATTGTGTTCTGGTCATGGGTTCATTACTCCCATCTGACGTTACAAACCAAGAACATTATTTTAGGACAGGACAAACAACAGTAATCATGCATATAACTCCAAAATGAATAAAAGTTTGAGTAAATGTCTTGGAAAACTATCCTTCCCTATTAGATACTGAACTGAAATATGTAATAGCTGCCAAACCAATTAAAACAACTGATCACAAATTATCAACAGTGCAAATATGCCTTGGGAGTACTTGACATTTCAATTTACTTGACTGACCAGAACAACATACAAAAATGATTCCCACAAAAATGTCCAAATGCGCTGATTTGAGTGGTGTCATAGCAGCAACCTTTGCCCATGACGGGGTATGTTTGCAAAGCTAAAACCTCATTGAAAAGAAACAGCAATAACAACCTTGGCCTCTCCATGGTGTGCAAACAGCTATCAAAAAAACTTAAAAAACACATTGCAGGGCAGGTTGATGAGACATTCATATTGCATAAATTTGTGTGCATTCATGCTGTTTCTTTTGTTTTGCAGCACACTTACACCAAGAAGGGCTGCTCCTTTTTGGAACGCATCATGCCAGATGGCTACAACATCTACATCTCAAGTAAACATGGAGCCCTTGTGAATTTGGGTGGTGCTGAAAGCAAGTTGCACAATAACGACAGGACTGCTGCATCTCAGTTCCTGCCCATGGTCAACACACTTTCTCAGGAACCTACCAACTACCGTTCAGGGGAACAACACTTTCCCATTGACCCTGAACAGGACCATCAGTTGGGCCTTGAAATAGACAGTATGGACCCTTTTGGAAAGATCTCTCAAATTGTGATCCAGAGTCCCAGTTTCAACAAAAGATGAGGAGTGAACAATCACTTGTGAATGTTCTACGGAAACGACCCAGAGGTCGACTGTATAAAATCAGTCCTGCCATAAACCAGAACACAGGGCCAGACTTTCAGAAAGAGACAATGTTAGAAAGTCCAGTGAAAGCAAACGTCACACTGGACACAGTCACGGGACAAATGTAGTGTTATGGACAGAAAAAACAAAATCACTCCATATGTTGAAGCTTGTTGAAAGATGAACCATAATGGTGCAACACCTGCAGCTTGAATTTATTTATTTTTTAATGTGTTTGTGATGACCTTGCTTTAATTATTGTGTAAAACTTTATAGCTAATAAAGTATTTAATAGACAAATCTAGAATGCACGGACACTGACACACACACAAACACACACACACACACACACACACACACACACACACACACACACACTATTGTATTTCTTGAAATATACAGTTATTTGTTCTTAAAATCTTATTTCTTATATGCTAATGTGGTTCAATAGTTACTTGGCCAAAATATACAGCAAATCACAACTTATAAGTCAGCAGTTTCGTTCTTAAATATAAGCAGCATCCTCAACTACTCTAATTCAAATTGTTGAGAACTTTGATATGGTTTGATATTGTTGACTGCATGGTACTTCCATAAAATACTGATGTATTGTAAAGATCTGTGGGCCTGAAAAACAGCAGAATATATTACAGCCTGTCCTTACATGATGCCCTTGAACAATATTGAAAGGAACGCTTTATAACGTTGTGGCTCCCTCTACTGGCGTAGTATCTAATTGCATTTTGAGATAAGGCTGTTAAATGTAATTTAAACCAAAGTGCCCCATTCAAACTCAGTCTGAAGATTTTGCATGGAGCACACATATGTATATAGAAGAACAGGCTATAGGCCTATATGTATAAATGATGTGGTGTCTTCTGCAAGCAAGCAAAGTACAGGTATTAATGACTTGAATAGTTTTATAAATACATGCTTTCCTCCCTTTGCTGTACTGCTAAAACTCTGACCAGAACATGGGGTTTTTGTCATGTAATGGTGTGTCTACAACAAAATAAAGGAAAACATATTTAATCGCATTTTCCACAATTAACAAGGAGACAAGGAGTAATATTTGAAAAGCCATGCTGGGTACAGTTTAAAAATTAATAATTTTTACACGCTAAATTAGACTCTAGGCTTAGGCTAAGTGAATTATACAGACACATTTTATACCCTTGATTGTTTACAAATGTTTTAATGTAAACATAATATGTGGCCGTTTTGTAGTTTTGTGACTTTATGCTCTAATCATTTTCACAGTGCTGGTAGAAATACATTCGTCTCATAATCAGTGCAGTTAACATGGGGCCACATAACAGTGTTACAAACCTTGTGGTTGTTGGATGACTGCCTGATTTTCTGAGCCACATAGCATGCTAGCATGTCCAAAAAAATCAATAAATTATTAATTACATTAATTTGAGGAAGTCAAATCAGTAACAGTTTGTTTTCATGATCAAACAATAACTTTATTCACAATCAATGAGGAGTAAGACAATGAAAAGCTACCTGAGGGCTTTCCTCATAGCTCTGAATGTAAATAAAGTTGAAGCTACGACTCTGACATGTTCTGTCTAACAATTCGATATAAAGTCTTTCGTTCAGTTCATAACAAATCTCATTTTATGTTGATAAAGAATATGAAGTTTGCTTTACTTCAGCCTCCCTTCCAGTAGACGGCGCCGTGGTTCAGGCACATCAATGTCAACATCAGGCCAACTGGAACGAAGAAGAGCGATTTCAGAAATTCGGGATAGACAACCCAAATAACTTTTTGTAAAAATGGCTTTTGTGTCCAGTAGTGATGATTTATTTGACTCCATTATCATGGCAGATGACAGGTAAAATCAGCGCGTTATTTACACACATAAACTTCTGTCACTCGATGGCGTTTTAACCCCTTCTCAGTGTTCAGTGACTGTCACTGTACACGTTTCTGTATTTAGGCTCCATAAATTCTCTCTTGTTTTAGGTTTCATGATGAAGGGTATCAGGAAGGGTTTGTGGAGGGGACTCGACAGGGAACCATTCGGGGGTAGAAATCACGGGCGGCTACACGTTGCCAAACTCGGTGCACACAATTCAGTTCATTTAGATTAAAGACAGATAAAGATTTTAAGACAGATAAGTCTTTCCATGAGAGCGACACTAGCAATAAATGTCTTCTCAGCTTTCACATCTTTTCAGGTGGCTGAGTTTATAATGATTCTGCTTGAGTAACCCTGTTGAAAAAAACAGCATATGCTGGTTAGGTATGTTTTGATGCTGGTTTAAGCTGGTCCTTTGCTGGTTTATGCTGGTCATGTGCTGGTTTATGCTGGTCATGTGCTGGTTTATGCTGGTCATGTGCTGGTTTATGCTGGTCATGTGCTGGTTTATGCTGGTCATGTGCTGGTTTATGCTGGTCATGTGCTGGTTTATGCTGGTCATGTGCTGGTTTATGCTGGTCATGTGCTGGTTTATGCTGGTCATGTGCTGGTTTATGCTGGTCATGTGCTGGTTTATGCTGGTCATGTGCTGGCAAAGGACCAGCATAAACCAGCAAAGGACCAGCTTAAACCAGCATCAAAACATACCTAACCAGCATATGCTGGTTTTTTCAACAGGGAATGCGAATAGCTTTCTGGAAAAGCAGTGTCAGGTTTTTCCTGTTGTATTATTCCAATGATTTCTAAATTCTGGGGCCTCACGACTGAACACGCAGTTGACACGAATGACAGCATTGTCATGCGTTAATCAGTTTAAAAGATTTTAAGCAACATGTATTATTATTAATTATATTATTATTACTACTACTACAATATTATAGATTTTTAGTTCTTTTGCAATTTCCTTTGTTTCCTCTATCGTTTTAAAGAATTAATTTTCATTATTTATTTTCAATTATCATTTTTATTGTTATTAAAATAATTTATTGAGAAATTTGAAACGTCTATAAATAATTAAGTGTGTACAGAACATATATCCAGTTTTATAAATTACACTTTTGTGTATTTGGTGTAACAGAATATGTTGACATGCTTTAATGTTCAAACATTATTTTTCAAATACTGTACATTATTGTAGGTCCTCTATGCCCCGCCTCTCTCAAACGCTTCGTTTTCTACAAAGTCCCTCCTTCCGACAAGCGCAGTCTGCTCTGATTGGCCAGCTGACCCAGTGCATTGTGATTGGCCGAACACCGCAAGCACTCGTCGGAAATGTAACGCCCCTTACCATAATCGCGAGCTTCATCTTTCAAAATAAATGTAAAGACAGTAAATAATGTCATTAGTTTTACCATCAGTTCAAGCCCGAAAGGGGAACAGACACAGTAATGATGCAGTACACAAGCCGCGGTTAAGACAGCTGACTCCACTGTGATGTGA